ATGGATTTGTACTGCCGTCCGGACGGCGACGATGATCTTCCTACTTTGACCCCTGTGCCTATCCCAACTCCGTCGGTGTAGGGTAGCTAGCTCCGGCAGTGGGTGGATTTGCTTCTCTTTTTTTTATTTGTTTTTCCTTTGGTATCGCGGTGGGACAGGGGTGTTAATACCAAGGATTGGAATGTGCACTGAATCAATGGACATTGACAGGGATATGAGACGATAGCAGGTGTTTGTATAGGTGTAGAAGACTACCCTTATTCTGTTTAGGTGTCTTGGTATTGAGGGTAACAGGGAATAACTTGACTGGGTAGTTAATATCGCTGGTAATTGCTTTACTGTCAGTACAGTGACGAAAGGCATATATATATATATATAAATTCTGTGTATTAATGGCCTTTCTAAGTTCTGTAAGGAATTAATAACATACCTATATAACAGCATATAAAGACTGGAAATGGCATTTCACATAAAACCTTGCCAACAGATTCCAGTGGCCATGATTACATTTGTAGGTAACAGAAAGCAAAAGAATGCCATCCAAGGCCTAGGTCTATATGGTATATATGGTATACCTCCAGCTCATCACGTGTCCTGCCTCATCGGGATGTTTCACAACAAACCTAACCTCCCACTTATGGATGCCATAACCTCGCGTCTAAACCTCTCTACCATCTCCAGTCCTTGTTCATACTGGCATTACGACTCTCATCTACCTTCAAATAAGTCTCAAATAAACATCAGAATATCAATTGACCTTGCTAATCCCTACATCCCACCACACTCATCATGCCCCCAAAACGCACACCCCCTTCACGCCCCCCAACCACAAAAACCACCAAAACAGACATCCTAATGAGCATCAAACCCGAGCACATGAGCAACATCGCCATCGGAAGAAAAAACCACGAGTACCGCCGGTATCTCCTCCCCGCCACCGTCCGGCGTGTCTGGCTCTACACCACCGCCCCCGTGTCGCGCATCGAGCATGTCGCTCGCGTCTCACGCGCGAAGACACCGGGCCAGGTTCCCGAAGACGGCGGACTGGGTAACGCGGAGTTCAATGCGGGGCGGAAGGCGTCGAAGTACGCGTACGAGATTCTGGATCTGTGGAAGTTGCGCGAGCCGATGAGCCTGAAGGGTGCGATGGCTCGGGGGTTCCTGAGACGGGCGCCGCAGAAGTATTGCTGGGCACCGGTTGCATTGGTTGAGGGGTTTCCGTTGGGGAGGCAGGAGCATTTACTGTCGAGGGATGAGGGTGGTCGAGGATCCTCTACGGAACGGGGGGATACATATAGAATTGACGAAGAGATATCGGGAAAGATGCCGGGTGCGGGTGGAGTAATCAAAGCTTCGGAGTCCGCCACGACTTTGGTTTCATACGGGTAGGGGAAAGGTGGGGATCCGGTTCTGTTGCATTGAGAGTTTGAGCGCTGTCATTATCGCCTTATGGGGGTCAAACCAAGTTCATGAACTAGTTGCGCCGCATCCCCCTTGCTGCCAACTGCATGTCGATATATTCCACCGTATAGTTCCGGAACAGCTTGTAAGGCTTATCCACCCAGTCCTGCACCTCCTCGAAAAGCGCCTCAATAGCCCCCCGAGTCTCGAGGAACGTGTCCGCCTCGAGCAAGTACTGACGTCCCGAATCGACCAGATATCTATACCCGTTCTCCCGGACATAAAGCGTCTTCGACAACTTGACCCCCGACCAGTCGAGTATCAAAGGCGTATAGAAGATAATCGGCGCATTGGCCGGAAGCTCCAGGAGCCGCCACGTCAACTGCTCCTGGTAGAATCCCGCATAGTCGGCCCCAGTGCACATGATCCACGACGTCTCCGTATCCAGGCTGCAGAGCAGGATCCGGATCAGGTTGCGAAGGGGCGTATTGAATTCGAGCCGTCCAACTTCGTGGGGCGAGGTGAGGTCAACGTGATGTTCTCCGTGCTCAGGACAAACGAAGGTAATTCGACCGTCATCTGCATGATACAGATTATTGATCCCGTGTTTATCGGCCAGTCCGCAATCTGCGTGGGGACACGGCGCCCGAATCGCCAACTTCCCTGTCTCGGGAGATAAGTGCGGACCGAGGAATCGATGCCGTGCGACGAGGCCCCGGAGGACGGTGGGAAAATGCGGATTCGAGCGCCAGAAACTCTGCGTTTCGATCTCGTATGATACTCCGGAGAGCTCAGATAAGCGAGTTAGAATCTTGATAAATGCGGGTTCGTTGGTCTGGAAACTCCCTGTCTGCTTCAGGCTCTTCTGGTACCTCACCCCGTTGACCAGGATCTCTTCTCCTGGAGCCGGGGCGCTGTCGACGAAGATAAACTTGACTTTGGCTTTGCGCTGGAGACTGTTCTGCAACGCAGCGGCGAGCGCAAAGCAGGTCGCGAAGGTGGCTATATTCCCGACATGCGGGCTGCAGTTTGGCTGGGAGCCGACGTGGAGCACGATTGCTGGCCGAGAGCACTGGTCACTCAGATATCTCAGGAGGGTTTCTTTGAAATAATATGATCCGCCACCGAGGGGGTGGTGGACGACTCTGTCGTGCGGTATCATAAAGCCTTTCTGGGAAACTCTTTCGAAGTACAGGTGAAAGTCACGCTGGAAATAAGCGGGAACGGAGGGAGGATTGTAACGAATGTATGTATATCTTCCTAATCATTGCTGGCTTGTTGGCCCAATCTTCCTCAGTACATTATCACTCAACTCAGCCCAACCGGAACACCGCTCTCGGCCTGAACTCGAGTATAACATACGGCCTCGCATCCAGGGTATCCATGCAATGCAGGTAAACCACGTAGACAGATAGGTATGTATGGTCCTGTCCGGCCCATGTCCGACATCCGAATTGAACGACCTGCGTCCGAGTAGAATACAGAGTTTGAATTTCGCTTATCCGCAGCCAATCAACCAGGCTTCCTAGAATACCGGCTTCCAGCTTGCACGAGGCTGAGGCGATGCATTGAGTATAGTCTGCTCAGCCTGCAGCTGCTTTTGGTGCTCACGAGGCAGATCAGGTTAGATACTTCACTTCTGTCCAATCATGGCCCGTAAATCAGGCAGTTCGGTGAGTGGGTTATCTTGGTTACATGCAGAACATGCCCAGAATGACTGCCATTGTGCACATATATTGAGGTACATTAGGACTCCAGTGCAAGGCTGCGAGAAAGAAATATACTCTTGTATGATAGTTGCTAGAAGAGGGGCAGATTATCTGCAAGGCTGACTACTATATAATAGCAGCCAGGGTTTTTGAAAAAAAAAATATATATATATATATAAATAAAAAAATAAAAAAATGAAAAAATAAAAAAATAAAAAAATAAAAAAATCATGGATTTAATCACTTGCATTGGTAGCTAGGAAGATTAGGTACTCGGGGTGATTTAATACATCAGCAAGACTGTATCTAATAACTCTGTCCTATATATATAGCCCATCCGATTTCATAAGTTATACATCCCCAGATCAAATAAGTACAAGTATTAATGTGCATGTACTGACAGATATAGAGGGAGAGGGATATATAAAGTATTCTGCACTCAGCCTTGCCAGTGTTATTGATCCCTGCTTGGGTCATTTCTGGAATGACTCTTACCATACCTAGTATCACACTTCACTTCTACATATCTTCTCTCTACCATAAGTCTTAATTAAGGTTGAGAAGAAAGTATACAGTACCATGTAAAGATGCACCTGGAATACTTGCCAGTTCTAGGGAGTATACTAGTATACTGATGTTACAGAATTTACAGGCAGCGTCTATTACTGTTTTGTGTCTCTACTGGTATACTTTTTATACTACAGCCTGCTCAGCTTATGCTGATGGTTTATTGCATGTGTATGCAGGTGTTTAATATACAGCATAGCTGTAGGATCCTCCGTGTATATATACTCAAACTTGCCTATTATTTAAGAATATTACCTGCATACCAGCCTAGTATATCTAGAATACTTAATATCAATAAATATATCTACATGCAAATTTCCTGTATTGACCGATGATTAGAGAGATACGCATAGCAAAAAATAGTCTAGATATCAGCCCTAACATAAACCCAACCGCAGTCCCCCAGCCCACTGAGATCAAAACCGAAATAAATAAAAAAAGTAACTGCCTTATTTATACAAACACCCACACAAGCAAACAAAGTCAAAGTCAAGGATAGGCTGATAACCGCCCAAGTCCAGTCTTGTCCTCAACTCCACCTCCTTCCCATCCTGAACAATAGCACAGCACCCACGCCAAAACGTCGTGGAGCAGTCTCCGCAGCAGCTTCCCTTGATGTCCAGTCTGTTTCGCAGATCGTTGCGCTCCTCGGATGGTCTGGAACATCCAGTGGCCGCTGACCATCCTGAGGAGGACGTAGGGTGCAGTGCACTGTTTACAAGGATTCATTTAGTTTAAATCAAATTCAGGGGAATATGCTCCATAGTAATTGTAGGAATTGGGAAAGGAGGAAGCCCACGTTAGGATTGCGGTAGTCAAAGGTGCTCAATGCCGGGTCATGCAGTCGGGCTTCGGTCTTGCTGAATGTGAGACATGGGAGGCTGCAGTATTAGGCCTGCAGTGGGGCTTTTGTTGATATTGTTGATTTTTGTTTTTAAGTTATTGGGTGTATGACAAAATGCCCTTCTATATGTGTTTAGGATAAGCGTACCAGCCCAGCCTCCAATGTGGAATTGACTGGGGGGGTTTGATCTATAGGTGATCAAAGTGAGCCCAAACTCACCTGTAGGTATAAAGGCACTCTTCCCTTTTGAGTTGAGCATGAGCAAGACGGGATAATCACATTCCACTAAGGTACCAGGCACTAATGCCCAAGAAAAGTCTACATCCTGCTTGGAAGAGCGGCATCTAGTATCCACCCATCTAGGATTATGTGTTCATCCACAGATGGTCTGGAGTGAACGTAGTTGAATCGAATACACATGTTGCTACACCTTCTCTGTGCCTTGTATATCGTAAATTCACAATTTTACTTTGGCAACTGCCCGAGTGGTCTAGTGGTATGATTCTCGCTTTGGGAACTTCGATTCCGTGAATATGCGAGAGGTCCCGCGTTCGATCCGCGGCTCGGGCCAACTTTTTGCCTTTTTTTTTTTTTATAATTATTATTGATTGATCTACTTCGCTTGATGTTGCTTTGCAGTTGTTACTTTGAAGCTGGAATTATCGAAGGTCATTTCAGACATGGCGTTTTGTAGATGTTGTTGTATGGTAGGGTTGATGATCTTTATGATATGCGAGTGAATACAATAGAAAGGACGCGTATTTGTTGTTCACTGGAGCCACTCCCAGGATCTGTTCCACTTTCGTTGGCTGGGGAGGTGTACTTACTGTGTGTGCATAGAGAATTCCTTGAGAACCCTATTGCATGCTTGTTATGAAATCAAAAAGTGGTTTTATTTTCAAGGTATAGTGACTGGCGCTGCCAGGTCTCTCTATACAGGTCTTGCTCTATCGACAACTCTACTTATGCAAATCTAGTCTATCGAATCCCCTCTCACCATCACAACCCCATCCCCCATCGTAACCACACACCAGGACAATGGAAATCCCCCTACAACCCCATCCCCGCCCAAACCCCCTGCCCCGCAAGCACTGTACTCACCACCATCCCCCCACCAATCTGCAACCCCGTCGCCGGCACCCACCCGATAAAGGACCCCGGGAGGGTCAAATCACAGACATCAATGACGAGCCGTTTGAGGAACGGCCATTTGGACGGGGCGCTGGGGTTCTGCTTCTTTTTCTTCTTCTCCTTCTCGTCCGCCGCCTTCTTACCGCCCGTCTTGCTCGACGCGGGGGTAGAAGAGGCAGAAGAAGTGAAAAGTAACCCCCAGAGAGCCCGGACGATGGACAGCGCAATCGCGTAGAACCAGAATTTGTTGGCCTCGGTCAGGACCGGTCTGTACCAGTCTACCTTGGCGACGCCCATGTCGTGGAGCTGCGGGTGTTAGCTGTGCTACTGAGATAGATAGAGAGAGGGGGGGAGTACGATGGTCAGGTCCTCGAGAAGGAGATACAAGCCGAGAAACGTGTACTGCGCCAACTCCAGTACGGAGAGGAATGTCCCCGTGGACGCCGGCTGCGTGAGGAGGTCAAGGACGCGCTCGAAGCAGCCGTAGAAGTCGAGGAGGCGGAAGTATCGCCGGGCTGTTTTTGTCAGCCATAGTCCTGGGACTCGGTATAAATATAGGTCTACAGACTCAGTGCTAGTTGATTGCGCGCTGTGACGCATTGTGTCGCGAGGGTCTTGTCGTCGGTTACTTCGGCGACGACCCAGGAGACGGCCTGGATTAGCCGGAGGGTCTTCTCGAGCCCGGCGGTCTGGCTGGTGAAGGTGACCAGTTTCTTCAGGGGGGAAACCGACCGGGTCGGCTGTATCTGGGACATTTTGAGGGGGGTGATGTGGTGATGGATGTCTGTTGTGTGTCTTGATGCCCAAAGACGCTGCAGCTCGCTTATACAGATCATGTGACATGACACGTGTAATGTGGTTAAGTAGCTACAAATGTGTTAAAGATCATATAAATTAGTGGAGATAGTTAATAGGGTTTTTTATATAAATTTTGAGGATACAGAATATGAGTCTGTATGGTCTGTTCAGTTGTCTCAGTCCGAGAGCAGGTGCAGGTAGCAACAGGTTCGGGACAGAAGTCTGTCAGTATCAGTCCTGATGGCAGCCTCTCAAATACACCCTGTAATCCTACTGATTGACATGCTTACCTCTGCTTGAGGCCAAGCTGGAAAGGGTTCCGGCCAGAAGAGTCACAGATATCAACATCTGCTCCCAGCTTTTCCGCGGAAAAACAAGGTCGTGTAGAGATCAACTTCGCCACCAAGCCACAAGCCACCGGCCCTGACTTCCAGTTGAATGCGACAGCGGGAATGATAACAATGGTCAATGCAAATGCTGTCAGAGATACCGTATGCAACCCCGCATTCCGTGCGTCTCCACTGCCCGAGGGTGGAGCTTGGCCTGTATCTTGATCATCCAGGATTGCATCCTTCGCTTGGCCTGCCTAGCGAATGATACCCTACAAGCCCCTTGCTCTAGCAGTCTTATCATGAGGTTGGCATTGGAGAACCTGGTTGAGTTTAGTACGAGCCAAGGGCCTGATAACTTGTAAAGTAGAAAGACATTCAATAAAACACCAGATATACCCTGGTCTCCTTAAATATCCGGAGCTGCGCCGTCCTGCAACTCAGTAGCCAAACCAGCAAAATGGACACCATCAACCAGCGCAAACCTACCGACGACGCCGCTCCGGGGGCCGATTTCGACCAGAAACCCGAGCCCGCTCTATCCGGGGAGCTCATCTCCGCCGGCTCGCAGCATCTGCATCGCAAACTGGGAGGAAAGGAGATCCAGCTGTTTGCGGTCGGCGGTGCCATCGGGACTTGTATGCTTCTTAGCCTGGTTTTTTGAGTCAATGCTGATGGAAGTCTGTAGCTCTCTATGTGCAAATGGGAGCTTCGCTGCCCAAGGGTGGACCAGCCGGTCTGTTCCTTGGGTTCGTTCTCTACGGGACAATTGTGCTCTCAGTGAACCAGTGCTTCGGTAGCCTCCTTACTCTGTGATGATCTTGGATGCACTTCTGACAGAACCAGCGGAAATGGTCACCTACCTCCCCATTGCCTCGCCGTTTGTCCGGTTAGCAGGCTTCTGGGTCGATGATGCCCTGAGTTTCGCAATGGGTTGGAACTACTTTTTCCTCATGGGTATCTCTACCAACGCGGGCCTCTATGAACTGTGACAGTACTCGCTAACAAGCCAGCCTTCAACATCCCGTACGAAATCACCGCAATCCACGTCCTGCTGACGTTCTGGACCGACAAGGTCCACGTTGGCGTGGTCGTCGCCGTCTGCATGGTCATCTACGCGTGCGTCTGCTCCAAGCTCGCGCCCAGCCAGCCGTCCGTACTGACGATCGCAGTGTCCTGAACGGCCTCACGGTGAAATACTTTGGCATCTCGGAATTCTACATGTCCATCTTCAAGATCTTCCTCATGCTCGGCCTGATGATGTACACGTTCGTCACCATGGTCGGCGGCAATCCGCACAATGATCCTTATGGCTTCCGCTACTGGAGGGATCCGGTACACTTCCTCTTCTTCATACTCACGTATTCCAATCTAATGGAATCTAGGGCTCGTTCGTCGAACACCTCGTCCCCGGCGACACAGGCCGCTTCCTCGGCTTACTTTCCTGCATGATCCAGGGCTCTTTCACGTATGTCTCCCCGTAGCCCGTGAGGTGAGACAAGCTCTAATAAAGTAGTATGGTCGGCCCCGAATTCATCTCCATGGCTGCCGGCGAAGCCGAAAACCCGCGCCGGCTCATGGGCAAGGCCTTCTCCTCCTTCGTCTGGCGACTGATGTTCTTCTTCATCGGGGGCGCCCTCTGCGTCGGCATCGTCATCCCCTACGACGACCAGATGCTGGCCGACGTGATCTCGGGCGAGCGCGAAGGCAGCGGCACTGGCGCTGCGTATGTCCTTCTCTCCTATCATCACTACCGGTTATCATCCATGTAACTAACTGAGTCAGCTCCCCATACGTCATCTCCATGATCAAATTCGGCATCAGCGGCCTCCCCTCCCTCGTCAACGCCCTCATCATGACCTCCGTCCTCTCGGCCGGCAACAACGTCATCTTCTCCGCCGCGCGCACCCTCCACGGCATGGCCCTGGACGGCAAAGCGCCCTCCTTCCTATCCAAATGCAACCGCTACGGCCTCCCCTACTACGCCGTCATCACCGCGCTCAGCTTCTGCCTGCTCTCGCTCCTCCAGATCGGCAACACCTCGGCCACGGTCCTCTCCTGGTTCGTCGGCATCTGCACCGCCAGCTACCTGCTGAACTACTTCGGGACGGTGCTCACGTACCTGCATTTCTACTACACCATGCGGAGGCAGGGCGTGGATCGCAACTCGCTGCCTTACAAAGGGTATCTGCAGCCGTATGCGGCGTGGTATGCGCTCGTGGGCACGGGGCTCATGACGCTGGTGCTGGGGTATGAGGTGTTTATTGCGGGCGGGTGGGACACGACTCGGTTCTTTACGAGCTACACGATGGTGGGGTTTTTTGTGGTGGCGTTAGTGTTTTGGAAGGTTGTTAAGCGGACGAGGTATGTGAGGGTTGGGGAGGGGGATCTGAAGTTGGGGTCTACCAAGGATGAGATTGATCTGTATGAGGCGCTTTATGAGCGCCCGAGACGGGGGAAGATTGCGGGGTGGTTGAATGGCTGGTTTGAGTGATCTCTTTCTCCCTTTTTTTGGCCTTGCTTATCTTTCTTGTGATGGCTGTGTTGGATGGTGGAGCTTCGTTTGTGTATGTATATGAACCATGTCGCTCAATACAGGCTATAGGTAGATAACAGCTTCATCGGCATAATGGTATCTCCAGAAGAACTTGGTCTGTTTACCATATCAGATCAGGTTCAGGCTCAGTATCGATCAGCAGACGGAGTCCTCCGTAGATAGCTGTACTGCTCTATACCATTGTCCATGCCTACGCAGGATACAGGCTCATACAAGAAGACCGTACGAAGATCCATTCACCATAGGGAAAGTCAAGCCGAAGCCTCACACCAAGTCACAATGAACAAGACCCTAACGGGCATGTCTTACTACCTTACTACGGTCCCTTAGTACCAGGGTTTATCACTAAGTGGACCAACAAGATATCATCTCCACAACGCGTGGTCCAGACAGCTACGCACGTACTCCAAATTCCAACCCCCTCTTATCTCTGTTACATGGCGTAGCAGCCCTAGTAACCAACAGGCTAGTTTGCCTCCGCCCCCACGGCACTCGACAGGAATCTGGACCGGCGATCCGGCCCGCCGAGATGATCTCCAACCGGGACCCTGGATATGACTGGTGGATAGAGCCGGACCTAAGTAGCTAGGGAGAAGAATACTGGGAAGAATACGAGGCTCGTCACCCCACTTGGCTTATCGATGTTGCGGGGGGTGACTGTCAACCTCTACGGCCGAACCGGGGGATACCTTACTATCTCCCTAGGTACTTACGTACTGTGGTAGACGACATGGAACGAAACCAAACGGTTTGAG